TTGGGAGCCACCCAGGAGATGGGCTGTGACCTGGAGCAGGAGGACGAGGAGGCCAGGACCAGGGGGACCACGCTGAGGGATGGTGGCTCGCCTCCTGCGATGGCCTTTCTCCTCCTGCTCCGTTTAGTGGGACATCTGGCCGTGCCCATTGCTGGCTTCTTCACCCGGCTGCAGCATCTGCGTGGCACTGAAAAGGTCGTGCCCAGCTGTGCCCGATGTCTCCAGCCTCCATAAGCCAGAGTCTGGAGCCAAGGGACCAAGCTCACTCTTCTCCTCCCACGGGGGACTGGACCATGGGGTAGATCTGGCCGGTAACTCGGATTAAGGGCACCTGGGTTTAGGGGGGGAGATCTGTACCCACACGGATCATGATGTGAGAAAGCAGAGATGCTTTCAAGATCCTCTTGATCCTGGAAAAAGGTAATGGGTGGTTTTTATCTCCCATAAGAGTCCAGAAGGGACGTGGCTTACAAGCAATTCCTTGTTTTTGCGTGTATGAAACGTGTTTGAAGAGACCCACGAATGCCCCTCGACAGTGGCCGTTAGTGCCAGCAGCCCCGGCAACCACGTCCTGGGCCCGCTTGCCATGGCAGACCTTGGTGGTGGGTGGGATTTCCAAAAGCTCTCAGCATTTCCCGAGTCCATCTCGCTTTGAAGGCAGCGGGAGGGGTTGTTTGTCTCTTTCTGATTGTTTTTTTTCTCATTAGCTGCAATGGAAAAAGAGCGCAGCCACCACAGAGGGCTTTGGGAAATCACAGCCGATTGTGCTCTGGTTTGAAATGTATTTGGGTGTTCCCTGCGAAGTCCCCAGGAGCAGAATCTGCTCTTGGCACATTTGAGCCTAGTGAATAAACTGGAGGGTGGGGAATTAGCTGTAACCGTGGTGCCTCCATGCTCCATCCCTTTGAAGAGTCGGGTGATGTGACAGCGTGGGCACCGACGCGGCCCCCAGGCATGTTTGGCTGCAGCTACTGTGACATTTTGTGCAGCTGGTGTGTATGACTCAGAGACCAAAGGGGCGAGAGCTGGAAGCCAGAGGTCCTTGAGGACATGGCGAGGATGGGGCGGAATGATCACGACGCTCGGCAGCTGAACTCCTAGAAACTTCACCCAAAAGATGCCGTTTGGTCAGCAAAGCCAGAGGCTTGGTCGGTGGGTTCAGCCTGATGCAGAAGCAAAGCCTCTGAGGCTGAGAGCACCCGGGGGGTGAAATCCCAGCCAAGGGCGAGGTGCGATAAAGAGGGGAGAGGAAAGAGCTGGTGTCTGCTCCTGCATCCCTGGGTGTGGGTCTCTGCCTCCAGTTCTCTCCCACTCCTGAAACGCTACAGCTGCAGGAAAGTGGTTTGCAGGATTACGGCACAGAGCTGTTCCCAGCGCCAGCAATGTGCAGCCCTGCTGCTGCAGGAGGCTCCAGATGTGGATGGTGGATTGGGAAACTCATCTGTGGGAAAATCCCTGGGGATGAGCAGCTCCCTCTGAGCCAGGCTTGAGAGGCTGCAGAGGATGGAGGAGAAGCCACAAGCGGTTTGTGGTGCTGGTGGCACTGGGAGGTGTCTGGGGAAGGTGGGGGAGCTCATCGGGCTCAGCCCCCGGAGGAAACAGCACGTGGAGGGTGGGCAAAGGGTGGGCTGGGGGAGATGTCAGGGTGAAGGGAGCCCTGAGACCATCCAAACACAGGCACAGCCCTGCCGGGGGTGACCGGAGAGGGGCCGCGTGCCTGGGGGAGCACAGATGTGTCTCTCAGCTGAAGCTGAGGCCTTTTCCTCCTCTGTGTTTATAAACGGTGAATGGCCATTAGTGGTTGGAACAAATGACCAAGCGACGGGCTGGCTTTTCCATCACTTGGGACTCCTAGATGGGGTGAGCTGTGGTTTACCTGCCAGCTGTGTGGTCCTGGGGCAGAGGCATCTGGCAGGGGCCGCCTGGGCAAATAAACCCTCTGCCCTTAGAAATCAGAGAGCTTTCTGGGGCTGGGCTCCCACCGAGCCTCTCTGGATCTTCTGGGCATCCATTAGGCTGGTGTAAAGAAATAAAAAAACCCCCAGGGACTGTCTTTGCAGGTTAATTTAGCTATTTGCTGCTAGCAAAAGCCATCTGGATTGTTGTTAGGGGCAGGTTAGGGACATGGGGGGGGGG